GTAAGTCTTATAAAACAAACCAAATACACTCAATATTATGATGAAAAAGTTAAATGAATGAATTAAGTCACTTAAGTACACAATTTTAAGTATCTTGTATTGTATGTTGGACTACATATATAACATGGTATGGTAACATACTATTTAACATTTTACACAATATACATACCTACTTATATAATTAATTACATCACGCTATGTGGTGCAATACGGTACATTAACTACATACCTGACAAAGGCCGTGTAGATAACAGAAGCAATAGATACAGCCAAAAGTGTTATGGTATGTGGTTTGTAGAAGAATTCTAAGGATATATCGTCAACCGGCCTTTCATTGATAGAACTAAATGCATCCATGTACTCGTTGGATGGTACTGTAGTGGTGGACGGTGTTCTATCCTTCATATTGAACCAGTTAAAACGTCAGCCTCCACAACAACAATAAATCGATAGGTGACTTTTTCATAATCTAATAAATTGTTGGGAAAAACATCATAAATTGAATTGACCGTCCAATAATAACGAAGAACACGCGAGCAACGACAGTCACAAACATGTAAGTCACAGACTATGCAAGTTAAAATAGACACCACAAATTAGAAAGATAGACACAATGCATTTTTTTTATTATGAGTTTTGGCTTGGATACAAGTACTTTGCAGTGTTGCCAGACTTTTGCGAAAAGCTTATAGGATGGAAAAAAAGTCTAAAGTATTAAGTAGCCGATATTCGCTCAAGCCATAAAATCCCTGAAAATTAAGGAAAACAATTGTACAATACTGCTTGCTGCCGGAAATTGGGAAATAAGAACTCTCTTATCCCAATTCCCAACACGTAAACATTAACTTTCCATAGAGAGACTAAATTCAACGACTGGGCAACAGTAGGTATTCATAAGAGTAGGTCTCGCTTGTATGAGATATATGCTATGAAAACTTATAATACTAATTCCAATTTCATAGAATATGCTAGAATTTATTCGAAAATATTTAAAAAAGTTTGTGTAGCTGCTAAGGTTAAGTTTCACAGCGACAAAATTAGACAATCGATAAATAAATCTAAAACTACTTGGAGCATAATAATTAAAGAGTCAGGCAGGGTTAAACTACACGATAGAGATATAGTTTTAGAATTAGACAGCAAACTTATAAAATATAAAGATAAAGTAGCCCAAGCTTTTGAATCGTTCTTTTCGGAAATTGCTGTGAACACTACAAAATCATTAAATTCCTCCCCTTCACTTGCTATTGATCTCCTAAAGGAAAATGTTAACGTTGGTGGCAGTTTATTTAATTTTCGTCATGTTAATCCACAAGACATCATTAAAGCTTTTAAGTCAATACATGTTAAAAAAACTGAAGATCTCTGGGGCATATCAACTAAAGTTATAGACTCAGTTATTAATCTCATTTCCCCACAGTTAGCTGTAGCTTTCAATAGGTGCGTTGACGAAGGTGTTTTTCCCGATTTAATGAAATACAGCAAGGTTATTCCCTTATTCAAAAGCGGTAGGAAAGTTGATCCTAGCAACTATAGGCCCATTTCAATTTTACCAGCTTTAAGTAAAATATTCGAAAAGGTTATGCTAACTCAATTACTGTCCTATTTCGGTAAGAATCATATTTTTCATAGTGAACAATACGGGTTTACTAGTGGTAGATCGACTAGCGATGCGGGGGTAGCGTTACTAAAAACACATCTTTGATGCTTGGGAAAGGTCCCAGAACGCTATTGGTGTTTTCTGTGACCTCTCAAAGGCATTTGATTGCGTTGATCATAATACTCTTATTACGAAGCTGGAACATTACGGTGTAAATGGCAAGGCGTCGAAACTTGTCTCGTCATATCTCAACGGTAGAATTCAGAAAGTAGACATAAATGGAGTGACTTCTTTGGGTTCTCCAGTAAAAATGGGTGTTCCGCAGGGCTCAATACTTGGACCTTTCTTATTTCTGATTTATATTAATGATCTGCCATTCTTTGTTAAGGACCATTGCGAAATAGTGATGTTTGCTGATGACAAATCCTTGATTTTTAAAACAGACAGACATGACATTAACTATGACCGTATTAATGATACCCTCTCTAAGGTAGTTTATTGGTTTAATGCTAACAATTTATTGCTTAATGCCAAGAAGACAAAATGTGTTAAATTTGAATTACCTAACGTAAAATCGACTAGTCCAAGCATAGAAATAAACGGAGAAAAGTTAGACCTTGTTAATAAAGCAGTTTTCTTGGGAGTGACCTTAGATAGTAAACTTCAGTGGTTTCCACATATATCGTCCCTGGCCAGCAGATTAAGCTCCGCTGCATACGCAGTCCGCAGAATACGTGAGCTTACCGATGTTAGTACTGCTAGACTAGTTTACTTTAGTTACTTCCATAGTATAATGTCCTACGGGATTCTCATGTGGGGTAAAGCGGCAGATATTCAAACCATATTTGTATTGCAAAAACGAGCGATTCGTTCTGTGTACCGTCTAGGCTCTCGGGTATCTCTCAGAGAAAAGTTTAAGGAGACGGGTATCATGACTGTGGCATCACAGTAAATTTACTCAAATATTTTATATGCCCGTAAAAATAGACATAATTTCAATAAGAAAGAAGATATCCATAATATTAACCTTAGAGCTAAGTCCAAACTCATGGTACCACGATTTCGTTTAACAAAGGTAAACAACTCTTTTATGGGGAACTGTATACGTTTTTACAATAAGATTCCGGAGCATATATTAAGTTTATCATTTCCTAAGTTTAAAAACTACATTAAAAATATTTTGATCGAAAAATCATATTACAAAATTAAAGACTACGTGTTAGATAAAGATGTATGGAAAGACGACATGGCTCCAGAATCCACACAAATTTGATTCAAAGTGTATTCCATAGCATTTAAGTTTATTTGAAAAGAGTAATCCCTAGAGTTTCTTGCTCGTTCTTCTCAGGGAGGTCAGCGTAGTGAACGAGCAGTAGCTTAAGCTTAAATGTGACGTTTTCAAGTGTAAATTTATTTTACCTATGTAATAAATAATCTTTGACTTTGACTTTGACTTTGTAGAAATGCTCAAACATCCAAAAAGTTGTTTTACAACTCCATTCCCCACAAGATCCCTAATCAAGTTTGTAATTCCCCAGACATTTTATTAAGTAGCCTAAAATCGCCTTTTGCTATTTCAAAAAGCCTAAATATCATAATATTATGGTTCTAATACATTATGTTTTACTTTCTCTTAAATAACTTAGTTCACTTATTTGGGTTTCTTAAATAGTCTTCGGCGGCGGGAGTCAACATTCAGGTTTCACTTTCACTCAGGGTCGTATTCTAGAACTCTATTCAATGCTCAAGTCAGGATTGCACTGTCAACACAAGCACTGGAACTACGACCCTAATGGCACGGACTTGACATGATTTCGAGTGCTTTAAACCATACACAAATCCTGACTTGAGCATGAGTAGAGTTCTAGAATACGTCCCTTAGATCACATTATCTTCTATCACTTCGAACAAAAATGTTCAATTCGTAATTATTGAAATTTTTAGAATAAAGTATTTTGTAATTTGGTTTAAAAGAAGAAATATAGTTCTAACTTTCTTCGTCACTATTTCTGTCTTCGTTTTTTCTTCATAATATACTTAAAATAAAAAATAATCTTTAAAAAGACGTAGTTCTATGTAACTTCAAAAGCCCGCCATTTCTCTGACACAATGAATATTTTTTTTGTACTGTTTTTTCCATTGGAAAAGGCAAAGGCACTAATGCGCCGTACAGCCAAGACCTAGGGTCGTATTCTATAACTCTACTCAATGTTCAAGTCAGGATTTGAGTATGGTTTAAAGCACTCGAAATCATACTCAAGTCCCTGCTATTAGGGTCGTATTGCTTGTGTTTCCAGTGCAATCCTGACTTGAGCATTGAGTAGAATTCTAGAATACGACCCTAGTGTCGTATTCTAGAACTCTGCTCAATGCTCAAGTCAGGATTGCACTGGAAGCCGGGCGGCGTCGTGGTGAATATTCACTGATCCCACGGCGCCGACTCAACCGGCGAGAGGGAAACCCGGGGGGGTTTAGTGGGGTAGGCCCTCCAGTCTGGAGGGAGAGTCCCCACATAACCCCTAAGTCTCCCTGGGCTCAGGGGTATCCATAAAGATTTCCCTCCCGTCAAAAAAAAAAAAGGATTGCACTGGAAACACAAGCACTTGAAATACGACCCTAATGGCAGGGACTTGAGTATGATTTCGAGTGCTTTATGAAATATGGTAATAAAAAAAATTTTAGTCTATACAAGCGCCACCATTTCAGGATCTTAAGGCAACTTGTACTTGTGGTGTCTTTAATCAAATTTGAGTCTTGGGGCCGTATTCCAGAACTCTACTCAATACTCAAGTCAGAACTAGAGTATTGCAGTGAGCACTGAAAATCATACTCAAGGCCTTGCCATTAGGGTCGTATTTCTAGTGCAATCCGGACTTGAGCATTGAGTAGAGTTCTAGAATACGACCCTGAGAGTAATCTCTTTGTTGTATTCCATTTACAAGAATGAAATGACTTCGATAATGCTTCTTAAGAAATAACTTTTTTTAATTATTTTGGCTTGGATACAAGTCCTTTGAGCCATGTATTCATTTAATTATCGGTTACTCCCATAGATTTAGTATATCCATAGATTGGCCCTGACGTATTGGAGACGAGACCAAAACAAAAATACATCTGTGTGCGTATAATGTGCATGTGTGCAAGATAAATAGTGTTGCGCCATCCACTGATTTAACTTAAATATCGATTAACATATTACACCGGCATTTCATTCGTTGTATTCGCCAAAATGTCTTAACGCAAAATACCGAGACGTTAATTAACTAGTTAATTAATGATTCAATAGAAAATTAAGAAAGCTACTATCACCTACTGGTAGTGCCATAGGATGGTAGGTAAACAATGGGGACTTTCACCCAAGATAACACTATGGCTCTACAAAATGGTGATAAGACCCATGATCAGTTACGGCGCGATAGTATGGAGGCCACGAACCAAGCTGACGACCGCAACCTACAA